ACGCGGGACACCCTAATGATGCGCATGAAGCCTGACCAGTGGCAGGACGTCATCGACACCAACCTCTCGTCGGTCTTCTACGCATCGCAGGCGCGCGCGCACGTTTGTGTTTGGTGTGTGTGTGTGTGTGTGTGTGTGTGTGTGTGTGTGTGTGTGTGTGTGCACGAATGCGTGCGCGGGCGTGTCACACGACACGCGGCCGCAGTGCGCATCCTTGCGCGGGGCATGCGGCAGCCGCCGGGGCGAACGGGGCGCGGGCGCGCGGCCGGCGCGGCTGGCGGGGTCCTGGGAACGCGTGCTGTTTGTGCGGAGTGTTGAGCAAAACGCCAGCACGCGAGCGTGAACATGATCTGCCTCCCCTCCGCTGTGTCGGCCTTCGCGTCGCTCAACCATTCGCACGACGCAGCCATGCGACACAACCGCGCCGGGTGCGACACGAACGCACGGGTGACACAACCACCTGCGGGCCGCGCCGCCGCTTGCCCTAATTCCCCGCGCAGGCCGCCACCAAGGTCATGGGCAAGCAGCGCAGGGGCCGTATCATCAACATCGCGAGCGTTGTGGGCATCACGGGCAACGCCGGACAGGTGCGGCGGCTCCCCGCGCCGTGCCGCATGGCGCCGGGCGGCGGCTCGCAGCAGCGCGCGGCGTCACGCCGACGCGAGTCGCATGGGGCCGCGCCGCACTGTGGCGGATGCGAGCCGGCGGCGCCGGAAGCGGCTCCTCTCAACAGCAAAAGGGGTGGCTGCGAATCCAGGAAGTTGGCTTGGGGGTTAGGCACCCGATCACGCAGCACCCCCACGCCCCCCCTTTCGCCCCAAAGCGCCCTCACACACACCCCCATGCGCACACACAATCACTCGTCAGTCACCCACCCCACACCCTCACACGCCCGATTTCCGCTCAATTCACCGCCCCCCCCCAGGCCAACTACTCCGCGGCCAAGGCCGGCGTCATCGGCCTGACCAAGACCATCGCTCGCGAGTGGGCCGCCCGCAACATCACCGCCAACGCCGTCGCGCCCGGCTTCATCGCCTCGGACATGACCGCGGTGCGCGGCCGCGCCCTCCTGCGCCCTCTCCTCCCCGGCCCGGCGCCTAGACGAAAACGCACACACACACATGCACACACGCGCGCGCACGCAAAACACTAACCCACCCGAACAGCAACCCCGCACAGCCAGCTGCGCCAACGGCGCGCGGCGGCGCGGGCCCGCTCCCTCTCTCGCCCTTCTCGACGTGATCTCGCGCGACGCTCGGCTGGGCGCACCGCCCTGGTGTTGATCGAGCAGGGCGTCCCTTCATCTTCCCCTGGGCCCCTTGATCTCCCACCCTCTGACCCCGCCGTAACCTCTTTCGTAACCCCCAGGCCATTGACAAGAAGTATGAGGAGGCCATCCTCAAGAGCATCCCCCTGGGTGCGCGGCCCGCCGGAGGGACCGGGGTTTGGGGGTGGGGTCGTGGGTGGGTGGGGGTGCGACCACCGCGCCCCCCAAGCCGCACTTTCCGACGCAGCCAGCGGCCCCTGCGCCGCCGCCCCGGGCGCCACTCGAGGGGGCGTCCGGCGTGGCTCGGTGGCGCCGCGCCGCGCGCGCTCCGGGCCGCGGCGCTGCGCAGAGCGCGGGGGGCCGGCGCCAGCACGAGCACGGGCGTGCTTCGAACACCCCCTTTCCCCGCCCCCGCCCCCGCGCCGCAGGCCGCTACGGGCAGCCGGAGGAGGTGGCGGGTCTGGTGCGCTTCCTGGCGCTGGACCCCGCGGCCGCATACATCACGGGCCAGACCTACACCATCGACGGCGGCATGGTCATGAACTGAGCTCCTTGCTGCCACGGCTGCCGGGCCTGCCGCGACCCATGCCCCGCGCCGCGACGCGGGGCGTGGCGTTTGCTGGAATTAGTGGGGGCGCGGGGGGCTCCGGAGGCGCCCCGCGCCGGCTGGGGAGGCGCGGGCGGCGGGGGCCGGGGAGGGCTGCGCCGCTGCATGTGTGGGGGCGCGGCTCGCCGATTTTGGGGCGTGGGGGCTGCCGCACACGGGCCCTGCCGGCTGCACTCTCGCGCGCCGTGCTGAGAAATCAAGAGGCTGTAACAATTTTGAGAACCGCTGCAAAGCGCTGCTCCTTGGGGCGGCGTTTGGGGCGGGCGTTCGCGCACGCCGCCAAGGTGGCCAGGTGGTGTGTCATGAAGGGCGGTTACTCCCGCTGCTCGCGGCAGTTGCAGGCAGACCGGCTGGTGAGAGCTCCGCCCGCCAGCCGCAGCTGTGAGCCGCTCGGCGCGGGCAAATTCAAAGTAGAGGCGATTCCGCTTGCTGCCAAGCTGGGGCCGAAGCCAGCCCTCAGGCCGGTCACCAACCCCCGGCGCGTGGCGACAAACTCCCGCCGCAGGTGGCCCCAAGGCGACAAAAACGGCAGGCGAGCGGACGCCTGTTCGCTAACGCCTGCAACCCCTTTCTCCTGCAAAACCAAGCATGATTTCTGTCTGTTGCACACGTCTAGCCATGGCAGGAGCCACCGCATGGCCCATGCTTTGCTAACTGTCGCAGGTTGGGCGGCGAGTGCAGCGGGTGCGCCCTCACCAGGATGAAGGACTACGGGGACGAGCTCACAAAGGGCCCGTGGACACCTGAGGAGGTGCGCTGAAACGTCGTGAGGCCAGGCCGCAGGGTGTGAGCGGCTAGACAAGCGCGGTTGGGGCAGTTCTCGCGCGGCAGCCTCCAGGCTCGACGCGATGCGGAACGTGATGCTGTTATACAGAGTAAACCTTCTGTCTTCAAGGGACGCCCAGCCGGCGGGGCCACCGCGCCTCGATGCGGCACTCGTTCACCGCCGCGCCTGGGGCACCCGCGCCTCGCGCCGCCGCACCTGCAGGACGGCCAGCTGCTGCGGTGCGTGTCAAAGCATGGGCCCAAGAATTGGAGCCTTATTGCCAGGAGCATCCCGGGTCGCACGGGGAAGAGCTGCCGCCTGAGGTGCGCATCGAGGCCATGGCGCAACCAACCAGCCATGGGGCTGGGGCGCCGGCCCCAAGGCCCCCGCGGCCCACATAAACCCCGTCCCAGGGGGCGCCGTGGCGACATCGCGCAGCAACCGCCACTGTTTTTTATGGCAGCGCGCCTCCACCGTCATCCCAGCACACCAGTGGGCAGCGGCGGCTGCCAGGGCAGCGGTCACCATCAGCACTAAGAGGCTGCCTACTCACCCCAACCGCCCGCCGAGCCGCCAGCCGCGCCGTGCGCCGCCTCACGCTGCGCTGCCGCGCGCCGCACGCCGCGCGCCGCAGGTGGCTGAACCAGCTGAACCCCAATGTGAAGAAGGAGCCTTTCAGTGGGGAGGAGGACGCCATCATTATGGCGGCCCACACGCTGCTGGGCAACAAGTGGGCATCCATCTCAAAGCTGCTGGTCGGAAGGTGCGCCGCAGCTGCTGCGGGGTGCTCGGCGCCGCGTTCAAAGCAGCCTGACAGCCATGCCTCAAATCGGGTTCCCGCCGACTGGGGGCCGCCATCGGCCGCAGACAAGGGAGTCGCGGGTGCATTTGCATGCGATCACAAAATATCAGGATCTGCCAGATGCGGGCTGGCCGCCATAGAGTGCCCGTTATCCCGCCGCGTCAGTGCATCCAACAGCCATGCAAGCCCATGCAGCCCCGACCCCTGAATGACGCCCGCACCCCATGCAAACGCCCCGAGCGCATGGATCATCCCATGCAGCGAACGATGCCATGCCGACTTCGCACTGCCTCATGCAAGACTCGGCTGCACCCCATGCATGCGACCCCGCCTTTGCCTCCCAACCCCGTCAAAAAAAACACCACCAGGACCGACAACTCAGTGAAGAACCACTGGAACTCCACCCTCAAGCGGCGCCGCGGCGAGTACGTGCGCGGCGCCCCCCTGGACGTGTCTGAGCTGGCCGGGGCGATCCAGGTGCACCTGCTGCACCGCGGCCTCGAGCCAGGTGGGAGGGGTTGGATGGCATGAGGCGGCACGGCTTGGGTGGGGTTGCGCGGGGTGGGGCGTGGCATGTTTTGCAGTGAGGTTGGGGTGAAGGGGGCGGCGGGGTAAGGGAGCCGCAATTTGCCCGTCCAGCGCGCGAGGGCGCGCGGCAGCGCCGCAACGCTCCGCGTCGGGAGTTGTCAACAGGCAACGCATGATGGATGCCAGGGCCGCCCTGTTATTCGGTGGTCCCCCTTGACGTGCCGCACCCCCAGCAGGCGCGAGACACCCTTGCGCCCTGCTCACCTCGCGCGCCCGCGCCGCCTGCTGTCCCTGCCGCGCTGTTCAACGGCTCGTCTCTCCCACTCCCGCGCGTGCTCCCCCACCCCACAGTGGCCGACCCCGAAGAGGAGGGCGCCGAGGGCAACGAGGTCATCCACATACTATCTCGCTTCGCATCAAAGCCCAGCGAACTGCGCCGCGCGCGCAGCGGCAACGCGCCGCTGCCGCCGCCGCCGCTGCTCGCGCTCTCCCCGGAGCAGCACGCCGCCCTGCAGCTCGCCGCCGCCGCCGCCGCGGGCTCGCCGCAC